AAACGTCTATAAATGAAAATATACAAACTTCACCTATACGTGTTGTGATTCTTGTTTTTGTTTAAAAGGTCCGACTAATACTTATGGAAATATAACAAGTCAAAATGTTAAACCTTACTCAACAATAATCTCTGAATGTACAGTTCATTTTTTTTTTATGCATTGTGTACCTAAAAATATGTGCCCACATCAACACAAATGTGTGAAGAAATATCGAATATTTAATAATGAAGAAATACAAATTATTTACAGGATTAGCTCTATAGTGCAAACAAGGCTTTTGAATCATCTTTAAACTTTGGATGAAATCATGAAAAAATTCACAATTGAATTCCTTAAGTCATCTCTAACCATAATGGAAACAAGAACCCTTAGTTGGCCGATTGTCTTAAAAATAAACCCTAATTTGTGCTACAACATTTCTCATATATTGTCTCAAGTTATTAGTGTAAGAATATTTGATATAAAAGTCATTTTTATTGAATTCAACACATTTTAAAAAAAGAAAAAGTAACAGAAAGTTACAAGTACATACCATTCGAAAATGATGTAGTCATGACGTGATAGATAGACTCATTGAAAAAAATTCTTAATTCTCTGACTCACTTCTTCTCTCTGTCTAACTATTATGCAAAAGAATTTTAGAACTTTAATTGATGAAAGACTCAAATGAAAAGAGAATTTGTACTCCTTTTATAGATGAAAGAAAATATCAAAACACATTCGTGATAATTGAATATGTTGACAAACGTTTCTATTATTATATTTTAATTACCATAAAACAAAATACTTCTATAATTTATTTTAAGATTACTCACTCCATCAAAGTATTTTTTTTCTTTATAGCGATTATCTATTATGTTAGGTGTGCTTTCAGTTTGTTTTAACCGTTATGAGTAGATGAGAAAAATGAAATATCAGGTTGCTGGGTTATCCACTTAATTATTGACATTAACATTCTCCCACTTGACCCACTAAACTGATTATAAAAACTATAGTAATATGTATCCATTTTTATATTAAAAATATATTTATTAAAAAATGAATTTGATACGTGATCCCGATAAAATCAGCTAACAATCCCAAAATTACTAAACCATAATACTAAAATAACTTGGATTATAAATTTGAATCATAACGATCACATGACTTCAATATCACATATCCTTCTATGCACCACACATCAATAATATTAACTAATTCAGTTCATAATGCCAAAACAGTCTCTATAATTTGTCTTGTCAAGATGTTCCCTATCGATTAAATACTAAATTATACACCTATGATTAAAAATTAGAAAATAATATAAACAAACTTTAATGCATAAAATGTTAATTATTCAACCACTAAAACATCCATTGTCATATTATGGATTACTCAAAAGACCTAACTTCACAACATGTTCTATATATATCTTTGGAGGTAGTCTTTTAGTCAATGGTTTAGCAATCATAAGTGCGATACTAATATTTTCAATAGATACTTGTTGTTTTTAGACTCATAATCATCTGATATAGCATATTTCCGTTCATTTTGAGATTTTTTTAAAAAGCTGATTGAGGTTGTTCTACAATATTTTCAATGACGACACCTTTTTGTGGCAATGACCCATTTCCATTACATAGCTTATTTTCTATAACTTGCTGAGAAAGGTGAGCAACAATTGTTTCTTGAGGCAAAAACAGTGGTGGGATATCCACTCTTATTTTCTTAAGGTCTACTTTTCTTGGTTCTTCACTCCCGCTAGTTTCGTCATTCTTTAAGAATTTGGTATTACCGATTTCAACTATTCTCGTACTATGATTAGGACAGTAAAATTTATACCATTTGACTTATCTAGATAAATTAATAAAATATTAAGATATTATCCTTGAATCTAGTATTTTCTCATGAGGATTGAAGATTCTTGTCTCTGTTGGACAACCCTATATATGTAAATGTCTTCAACTTAATTTCCTACCAATCCACAACTTGAAAGGAGTTGCAGATATTGCCTTACTAAGAACTCTGTTCAAGATATACATTGTTGTCTTTATAGCTTCACCCATAAGAAATGGGTATAGAAGACCTCATCATACTTATAACCATTTCTATTAAAGTACGATTACACCTTTCAATAACACCATTTTGCTATGGTGTACTTGACATTGTGTATTGAGCACGAATGTATGTTTTTCTAAGAATTTGGTAAAGAGACCAGGATTTTATCTTGACTCATCATATCTACCATGGTATTTACCACTTCGATCAGATCTCACAATCTTAACCTTTCTATTTAATTGTTTCTCAACCTCTATAATGTACACCTTAAAGATGTCAATGGCTTGAGACTTATTATGCATTAGATATACATGATCATACCGAGATAGATCATCTATGAAAGTGATAACATATTTCTCTCCAATGAAACAATGAATAGAGAATGGTCCGCAAATGTTTGTATGAATTATCTCAATATGCTCATTACTTCTTGTGACACATTTCTTTATATATTTAGTTTGCTTTCCTTTTATGGAATCTATGCATGTTTGGAAATCAATGAAGTCAAAATTTTGTAAAATTGCATCATTCACTAATCTCTTAATTCT